CGGACACCGCAACTCTACAGTTATACCCGATACTAAGTCAGTATGGCTCTCCTCCGGCAGACGGCGCTAATATTAAACGACACGACAAAGAGTGCGTGCGAGAGAGACAGAAAATCAGTCTGAGCGTGACGTCGGGCGCTGGGTAGCCACTGAAAATTGTTATACCCGATACTCAAAATGAGTATTGGGGTATATTAGATTTGTGGTAAAAGTGGATGTGTGTAACGTCCAGAAGGAATCGTTTCCGACCCTATAAAGTATATATATTCTTGATCAGCATCAATAGCCGAGTCGATTGAGCCCTGTCTGTCTGTCCGTCCGTCCGTCTGTCCGTCTGTCCGTCTGTCCGTCCCCTTCAGCGCCTAATGCTCAAAGACTATAAGAGCTAGAGCAACGATGTTTTGGATCCAGACTTCTGTGATATGTCACTGCTCCAAAAATATTTCAAAACTTTTCCCCGCCCACTTCCGCCCCCACAAAGGGCGAAAATCTGTGGCATCCACAATTTCGACGATACGAGAAAACTAAAAACGCAGAATCGTAGAAGATGACTATATCTTCTAGAGTGCAAAGTCTGAACCAGATCGTATAATTATTACAGCCAGAATCACGAAAACAATTTCACTCTTTCTCGCTCTGTCTCACTCTAACACACAGGTTTCATGGTCGGTTTTGCCAATTGCAAAATATGAGTTCAAGGATCTCAGAACCTATAAAAGCCAGAGCAACCAAATTTGGTATCCACACTCCTGTGATATCGGACCTTGACCGTTTCCTGTCCAAATTTCGCCACACCCCCTTCCGCCCCCGCAAAGGACGAAAATCTGAGGCAACCACAAATCTCAGAGACTATTAAGGCTAGAGTAACCAAATTTGGTGCACACACTCCTTTAAGATGTCACTATAAAACGTATATCTCAGAATTTCGCCGCACCCCCATCCGCCCCCACAAAGGACGAAAATCTGTTGCATCCACAATATTGCAGATTTGAGAAAACTAAAAACGCAGAATCATAGATAATGACCATATCTATTAGATTGCTGAATCTGGATCAGATCAGATCATTTTTATAGCCAAAAGGAACAAATCAATTTGCAGTGGCTACGCAGCGCCCGACGTCACGCTCAGACTGATTTTCTGTCTCTCTCGCACGCACTCTTTGTCGTGTCGTTAAATATTAGCGGCGTCTGCCGGAGGAGAGCCATACTGACTTAGTATCGGGTATAACCGTAGAGTTGCGGTGTCCGCAGCAACTCACAACGTTCCCCCTCGTTTTTTTTTCTTTTCGGCTATAAAAATTATCCGATCTGATCCAAATTCAGCAACTGGATAGATATGGTAATTCTCTATGATTCTGCGTTTTTGGTTTTATCGTATCTTTAAAAATGTGGATGCCACAGATTTTCGTCCTTTGTGGGGGCGGAAGTGGGCGGGGCGAAGTTTTGAAATATTTTTGTAGCAGTGACCTATCACAGAAGTCTGGATCCAAAAAATCGTTGCTCTAGCTCTTATAGTCTTTGAGCACTAGGCGCTGAAGGGGACGGACAGACGGACGGACGGACAGACGGACAGACAGACAGGGCTAATTCGACTCGGCTATTGATGCTGATCAAGAATATATATACTTTATGGGGTCGGAAACGATTCCTTCTGGACGTTACACACATCCACTTTTACCACAAATCTAATATACCCCAATACTCATTTTGAGTATCGGGTATAAAACGTCAATTCGCACATCTACGCAAAATTGTCAAAATACACATAAAACATACTTACCTGCCAGTCCACCGACAGAGCTGCCCCTCCAGCAGCTGCCACGTCAATTTCGCCACCCTTTTCCCTCCAAATGGGCGAAATTTGGAGTCCATATCGCCGTCGCCAACAACATACAGGTCCACAGGCTGCCACTGAAAAAAGAAGAAAAATCATCAATTCACGCATCAACACAAAATAGCCACTAATCACACTTACCTGCCACTACACATACAGATCAAACCTCTCCAGAAGCTGGCTCGCCACTAACCGCAACATTTTGTTGCAAGTTGTGCCCAATCTGGAGGCTCCGATTATGCTGCCGCCAACTGATGGCCGTGACGTCACGCCATCATCACAAAACGGCAGCAATCCAACGAGGCCACACTGGCCAGCGCGCCATCTCCATCGACAGTGCATCCTGGGTGTCCGGACCAGCAGCCACTCGGATGCAGCCAAATTACGTTCGTCCTCAGCCAATTCTGTTGGTCGACGCATCTCGGTGCCAATCTCCAGATCTCCAGGCAGAAGCAACGTGGGCAGCAGGAGAAGAGTCGCTCGCTATTTACCATCACCGTGCACGCCAACTCCAAGTTCAAGTCTCCGCCAATTCCGATGCCGCAGATGCGTGTTCTGCTGCATCAATCACATGTGCACATCCAGCGCTGAGGCGGATGCGCCCTGTGCCATCCACTCTGCTCCAGACGACGACGATGTTCCTCCAGTACCTAAAATCGAAAATAAATAAAATGAAAATAGTCTATAAATGTTATTAATGTTGCAATTTGTCCAATACTTATCTCTTTGTGACCACCTTTTTCTATTAATGTACGTCAATTCTTGTGAATGACAAATTAGGGCTGCCAGATGTTAATTTATGTTCCATGTCAAACGTCTGTTAGAACCATGTTAATGTCAATTGCCCGCAAAAATTAAAAAAAAAAACCTTATTCTTGTCAATCAAGCTTTCACAAATATTGCCGACATACAGGTAATGGAAAGTGCTTAATAAGTTGATCACCAGACTAGCATAGCTGGCGGGCGAGTGTTCGCATCGTCGAAGCGAAAGACGGGTGCGCTCTCGCAGCAATTAATTTGGAAAAAAAAGACTTGTGTTTTTATACCCGATACTCAAAATGAGTATTGGGGTATATTAGATGTGTGGTGAAAGTGGATGTGTGTAACGTCCAGAAGGAATCGTTTCCGACCCCATAAAGTATAGATATTCTTGATCAGCATCAATAGCCGAGTCGATTGAGCCATGTCTGTCTGTCCGTCTGTCCGTCCGTCCGTCTGTCCGTCTGTCCGTCCCCTTCAGCGCCTAATGCTCAAAGACTATAAGAGCTAGAGCAACGATGTTTTGGATCCAGACTTTTGTGATATGTCACTGCTACAAAAATATTTCAAAACTTTGCCCCGCCCACTTCCGCCTCCACAAAGGGCGAAAATCTGTGGCATCCACAATTTTAAAGATACGAGAAAACTAAAAACGCAGAATCGTAGAAGATGACTATATCTTACAGAGTGCAAAATCTGAACGAGATCGTATTATTATTATAGCCAGAATCACGAAAAAAATTTCACTCTTTCTCGCTCTGTCTCACTCTAACACACAGGTTTTGCCAATTGCAAAATATGAGTTCAAGGATCTCAGAACCCATAAGAGCTAGAGCAACCAAATTTGGTATCCACACTCCTGAGATATCGGACCTTGACCGTTTCGTGTCCAAATTTCGCCACACCCCCTTCCGCCCCGCAAAGGACGAAAATCTGGGGCAACCACAAATCTCAGAGACTATTAAGGCTAGAGTAACCAAATTTGGTACACACACTCCTTTAAGATGTCACTATTTTTTTTTCGATGTAATTAGATGCGCGTGCACGCCTACGATGCGCACACTCGCCCGCCAGCTTTGCTACTGGCGGAGTTTATTTCCAGCTTTTCTTATTACCATAACTTCGGCAATTTACATTTAAGCTTAACTAACAACAATAATGTGATTTTAAAATTGGCGGGCTGTTAACATTAACATTAACATTACATTGACATTACATTAACATTAACATTAAAACATGAAACTAATGGTCTGGCAGCCCTTATGTGTCAATCACAGGATTAACGTACATAAATCAGCAGGTGGTCACAAACAGATAAGTATTGACAATATTTGAACAATTGTTTACATTTTAATCTAATTTAATTATATTTTATTTCTATTTGCAGGTACTGGATCATCGTCGTCGTCTGGAGCAGAGTGTTTGGCACGGTGCGCAACCGTACGGCGCTGGGTGAGCGCGTGTGTAAGGTGCGGCAGGAGACGTGGACAATGCACAGCGCCGTGCAGAGTGGATGGAGCGATCGCCGTGGTCCTCCAGGTGGCCCGGGATTCGGCCAAATTTGTGTGGCGATGGTTGCCAGCAGCCATGAAGTGCAGGAAAACCACCCCTGCGTGGATTCGGATGCGCCATGTGTGTAGCGCAAGCGTGTCCAAAGCATTCATGGCCAACCAGCAGCCGTGATGACTCTCGTCCGCGGAGCCCTTCTGGAGGCCGGATGCCGTGGTGACGCCCATGAGAAAGGATCAGAGGAGCAACTAGGGGTGTCGCCCGGTGTCGCAAGCGTGTTTTCACGCGCTTCAGGTGAGTATTTGTGGTTCTCTGTGGATGGAATGAAGGTGTGCAAATTAAAACCATTTTTACACTCACCAGGAATACCGACAAAGACCAACACAAGAGTATTGGACTAGCTGCGGCCGGATTGCGGCATCCCAGTGAGCGGCGCCTTGCTGCACCAAAGTGCGGAGTGACTGTGGCGGTGTGCGCAATGTGCCGGCCGGCATCATCGTCGTTGTTGTGGTCATCGTCATCTGAGATGGATTGGACATCGGTGATGATTTGGACGTCGTCGTCGTCGTCATCTGAGATGATTTGGACGTCGTCGTCGTCGTCGTCGACCACCCGTTCAAGGCGCCGTCGGACTTGCTCCAGTCCGTGGTCCAGAAGTGCCTCTTGCGGATTGCGTCGATGGCTGTCGTCCAGGGTGCGTGAGCTGCTGCTTGCAGCCCGTGTCTGGCAACGATGATGTGACGTCTGCCGGTTGCTGCTCGCCAGAATTTGCTGTGTCTGCTGCTGAGTCCGCTGCTGCGTCTGCTGCTGCATCTGTTGTTGAGTCTGCTGCTGAGTCCGCTGCTGCGTCTGCTGCTGGGTCCGCTGCTGCGTCTGCTGCTGCATCTGCTGCTGAGTCTGCTGCTGCGTCTGCTGCTGAGTCTGCTGCTGGGTATGCTGCTGCGTCGCTGGATCGGGATCCCCCTCGTAATCTGGCAGGATTATCCTTTGGACAGAAAGTGGCTGGCCAAAGATAAGAGCCACTATTCTTTCTCGGGGAGTTTGGCCGCTGAGGTATCGTTTTCTGAAGCAATTTATCATCAATTCGTTGAACCTTTCGGGGTTCGGATTGATGATATTTTGTTGTTGGATTCTTCTTAATTGCCTGGCGTCTGATTCCTCCTGTCTCTTTCTTTTCAGCTCCTCCTCTTCAATACGGACCAGCGTTGGAAGCGATTCCTCGGAGATGGCCGGATCTGGATGTTGTTGTTGATGGCTGCTCCGATCCTGATTTCGAGGTTACAGCGGGCGGAAGTGTTGAAGCAGCTGTTGCAGATATCGTGGCCTCTGCAATCGCTGTGGCTCATACGGCTGCAGTAATAGTTTCCGAGCCTCCGGATTGACATGGCAAGCCAAGGAGTTGCGAAGCGCCCACTTGCCGCATGGAACACTTCGTCGATTGTGTCTAGATTGTGAGTCTGTCTTATGGCATCGTTCCTGGTGAACCTTGTCGCCTTCATTGCCCGTCTAATGATTTTATTTTGTAGGCTTTGCACCCGTCGCAGCTGGGAATCGGATGTAAGTGCGCCCCAAACCGGAAGACCATATTGCCAAATGGGCATGATGAGCTGCTTGATGACTATAGCCTTGGTTTCGCTTGGCAGCCGGCTTTTTGGGCCAGCAAGCCAGTCCAGTTTGGCCGCTCTTGATCGGAGTTTTGTGCAGATCCTCGTGATGTGTGAGCTTAGGGTGAGTTCTTTGTCCAATTTTATGCCCAGATATGTGTGTGATTTGTCAAGTGGCACAGCCTGTCCATTTATAGTCGGCGTTTGCCTTAAGTCCGTTGATCTAATTGTCCTCAGTGTGAATATTACATGTCCGGTTTTTTTCGCATTTATGTTAATGCACCACTTCTTGGCCCATATAGAGAAGTGAGTCAGGTATCTTTGGTTATATTTGACTGCCGCATTTGGGATTGCAGATGCGCTCATTATCACCGTGTCGTCGGCATACGTGGACAGCAGCATTGATTCCCGTTCTGGATGGAAGCCAGTGCTGTCCGGGATGAGGTGAGGCATTGGCATGTCTGAGGCATAGATTGTGTATAATATTGGTCCAAGAACACTGCCCTGTGGGACTCCAGCTGATATTTTCCCGATTCTTGAAAGTTCCTCGTCTCCGCAGCTCACACGAAAAGTGCGTTCAGCCAGGTAGCTCTCCAGAATGCAGTACAAATTTAAAGGCAGCAGCTTCATCAACTTGTACAGCAGCCCTTCATGCCATACTCGGTCAAAAGCTTCGGAAATGTCCAGAAAAATTGCCGAGCAAACTTGTTTTTTCTCATACGCCTTGAGGATATATTGAGTGACTCGAGCCAGCTGCTGCTCAGTGCCATGCTCCCGCCGAAATCCAAATTGGTAATTGGGTACGGCCTTGGCAAAATTCTCCACCTCAAACAGTCTCGCCATCAGCAATTTTTCAAAGATCTTTGAAAGGCCAGATAATAGACTGATTGGCCGGTAGGAATTCATGTCTGCTGTGTTTTTGCCCGGCTTTAAAATCATTTTAATCTGGGCATGTTTCCACTGACTTGGAAAGTGGCCCAGTCTGAAAATGGAGTTATATATTAATATTAAATATAATAGCGCTTTTTTTGGCAAATTTTTAATCAGTTTGTTATTGATTTTGTCTTCCCCAGGTGATTTGGACAGCTCCAATGCATCCACAATCTGCATCAGCTCAGGCAATGTGACTGGTCTGAAGGGAATCCTGGTTTCCTGGTCCGGTTGTAGCTGCTTCTGCCGTTTTGACTGCTCACGCTCTCTGTTGATTGCGGCCCGCTCTTCATCTGAATTGGACAGTATCGGGCTGAATCTCTCCTCCAGGTGAGTAGCAAAGGCATCGGCTGTCTCGGCTGTTGACTTTGTCCACGAGACACTTGCCTTGCCTCCGGTCATAGTTGGCAGCCTCTGTGGCCAGTTTGGCTGCGGCTGTCTTTTGATTGTGCTGGTCAGTTTCCAAAGTTTCTGCATTTGATGCCGGTCTTTGTTGTCAATCCCTGTGAACAGTTTGTTGATGTTTTTGTTTTTCAGGATTGTGAGCCCCTTGTTAAGACGATTTTGCGCCGCCCTGTAGTTTCGTCTGGCTTCGATGGTGCGGGTCGCCAGCCAGATCCTCTTGCACTGCTGTTTGATGGAAAGCAGCTCGCTTGTAGCCTCGTCCAGCTTAAGGTGATGGTGCCGGTGATGTTGCTGTGACCGCTGCTGATGTTGATGCTGACGCTGCTGTGGCCATCTTCGATGTGTGCTTGGGTGCTGCTGTTGATGTTGTGTTGATGCTGCTGCTGCTGCTACCCGTATATTGTTCAAAAACAAGTCAACGACGTCATCAATGTCCTGCGCTATTCTAATCTCGGTGTTGAGATTGATCAACCGTTCTAGCGACTTTTGGAACAGGCTGATATTGGCACGTGCTGGGAGCAGATGTTTCCTGACTGTGGGCGTAGGATGTCTACGTCCACCGCTGCCGATCGTCAACTCCACCCTGAGCAGCAAGTGATCAGAGTCCAAATCCGAGCTTGAACGGATACTCAGGTGAGTGTCGTGGATTCCTTTGTAGATTCCAAAGTCAATCGCTGATGGTCTCTTTTTTTTGTCGTAGGGATAGTGTGTGGCACCACCGGTGGCCAGCAAATTGCAGCCGTTGTTGGTGTGTACAGCCTCCATCAGTGCTTTCCCTCTGGCGCATCCAAGGACATTTCCCCACCACATATGCTTCGCGTTCCAGTCACCGCATACAAGGAAGCCGGATGCTGTATCTTCGACGCAGAGTTCTTCAAAATGTCTTATCAATCCAGTAAAATGGGCAGGCGCCCACTTGAATACAGGCGGACAGTAGATCGGCGCAAAAATAATTCCCTTTTTATTTTCCTTTTCAGTGAAGACGATGACATGTGCACTCTGGATGAATGGCTTTGAAATTGGCTGCAGTGCAGAGTGGGTGACATCGTCCCGGAACAGGATGGCTACTCCCCCTCTGCGATCGTTTGCCGGATTTTGTGCAGTGTAAGTGTGGAATCCGCTCACAGAGACGGCCCTTGTGCGTGTTTCGATGACCATCATTAATTGTATTTTTTCCCTTTTCAGGAAAACTTCGACCTCGTTCAACTTGTTTGTCACACCACACGCGTTCCAGAAGGCAATTTTAAAAGAGTTGTGGGTGGAAATAGTCTGTACTGGATTGACTTTTTGGTTTGACAGGCTATTCGGGACTGGACTAAACATAGAAGGCATCATTGGCGGAGGACAGGACCATGTCCAAAGAGTTTGGTGAACTGCTATTTGTTGTTTTGCTTGTTTTATTTGTATTGATATTTATTAATTTGACTATTGCAGAAAATAGACTATCGATTTTGGCCTCAAGTCTTGAGAGAAATTCTGCATTTTCTTTATGGGCATGGGACTGGAAATTTGCGGGGAGAGTTTTTTGCTGTTCTTGTTGCTGCTGGTGGTGGTGCTGCTGCTGCTCATCCCTCAACTTCTGTTGGAACTTGGCCAAATGATTTTCGGCCGGATTGGCTTGAGCACCTTGGCTATACAAGGGCCTGCGGGTGTTGGGCGTTGCTGCTGCTATTGGAGTTGGTGCTGGTGCTGCTTTGGCCCCTTGTACAACTCTTGCGCGCTGCTGCCGCTGATGCTGCTGCTGCTGTGGCCGCTTCCTTTGTGATGGCTGTTGCTGCTCAACAGTACGGACATATGGCTGCTGCTGTTGCTGTGGTCGGCGATGCTGCTGTTGATGATTGTCCGCTCGTGGCTGTTGCTGCTGCTGCTCCTGCTCAGTAATTCCGCTACGTACTACCCGGCTGTACGACGGCCTACCGCTGCCGCTGATTGTTGCTAGCTGCTGTTGTTGTTGTTGGCGGCCCTGTCGTTGCGTCTGCTGTGACTGCTGCTGATGCTGCTGCTGCTGCGTACGCTGATGTTTGTTGTGTTTCTGTTGTGGGCGTTGCTTCTCGGTTTGCTGCATGCTGTTGTGGGGTGATCTCCTGCGCATTTCATGCACTTGAATGGCCGTCTGCAATAATTTTTAGTATGCCCAAACTCCTGGCACCGATGGCATTGGGCTGGATCGCGTGGCTTGGCTTGTCTCACTATCGAGACGCACTGGTTGGCCAGTTGTTTAACGTCAAGTATTGCCTCATGGCCGCCATCCGCCTTGGGCTGAATTTCAACCTCAAAAATGTTTAGAGGCCTTCCATTAAAACGGTGTTTTAATCCTCGGATAAACCGGGCAGTGTATCCGAGTCGTTCCAGCTCCTCCGTTATCCAGCTGCTGGGCGTAGTGTGGTGTAAATGCCGCACTATTACACGGTAGCCCCTTTAACTGCGCGGCTGGTGTGTGTGCAGTTGAGTGCTATCTTCAGCAAGGGCGTTCTGTATGGCGTTGTATGTTGTCATGTCGTCGCACTGGACTCTGAGTCCACTGTTGGCCATCGATTTCGTCGTGAATTTCCCCACGTTCGGATTTATTGTCAATTTATTGACAGGAAGATTGTAGGGACCTTGGTGCTGCGTAATGACGGTTGGACGGGCGTTATATTTATATTGATGTCTGGCTGGTGTTGAGGCTGATGGTTTTCCGTCTCCATCTGTTGACTTTCAGACCCCTTACTTTGTGGCTCCCTATGTTTAACCTCACTTGGTGGAACCGGAACCTCACTATTTAGCGGTGAGCATATTTGGCCAACATCTGACTCCATCTGCCGGGTCTCGTGATGCAATCTTTTCGCAAACTGACTCTTGAACATGGGCGTGTCAAGTGCCAGGCAGGCAAAGTGGTCGTCATCTGAATCCGTTTCGATCGCCGCGCATCTTCTTTTGAGCGGCGAGCGAAACGAATTTGTTGTCAGGATATCCTTTGCTATAGGGGTAACTGCCCCTGGGCGAGGGCATTTCATTGGCCAGTAGCGGGGGAACGCTATTAAGGCATTCCTTTACCAGCTGTGTTCTGGTACTAGGCCTTGTCTGAGTATTATGCTCGTCCGCCTGAGTCAGAGTAGGCAGCAAGCATTTTCTGCTTCTGCTAGTATTATTGCTTTCAGTTGTCGTCAAACGTTGTTGCTGTTGCTGGTCATTGTTTTTCTGTATGCCGTTTATGGTTTCGGCATATGTCAATGTGTTTGTTTTTGTTTTGTTATTGGCGTAGGTCAGGGGTTTATGGTTCGGCGGGAGAGAGCAAGCATCTCTCTTTTTGTCATAAGTGTGTGAGTGCAAGTTTGGCGGCAAACGCTTTGGGGCTTGATGTGACGCGCCTCCGTTTTGATTGTGCGCCAAGGGCTCGGACGCTGAGAGAGCGCAAGCGTCGCTCTCTCTGATGCTTGTGTGAGTTGTTTGCTTGTTTTTGTTTTCGCTAATGTTTTGGCGCGAAAACATATGGGCATAACATTTGTTCTTGTTTTGTTTATGTGCACTTAAATGCTCTTTTGTTAGTGCGAAAGCGCCGCTATTTTTGGAACCCGTTGCACTTTCGCTGGGAGCTATTTTTGTCTGCGTGTTTGTACGTGTATTTGATGGCGGTTTTTCTTGTATGTTGGCGTCTGTTTTTGGTGGGATTGGCGAGTATTTTCTAACATATAAACCCCTGTCCACGAAACGACGCTCGAACTCCAGCACCGTAGCTCCCAAGGAGCTCACAGTACTCTCTGGCGAGTCCGTCTCCAACTCAGCCAGATCCGCATCCCCCTCTGAGTCGAACATTGGTTCGAAGATGGAAGCATTTGCGGCACAAACACCAGCTGCAGCAGCAGCAGCAACGCCCAACACCCGCAGGCCCTTGTATAGCCGAGGTGCTCAAGCCAATCCGGCCGAAAACCATTTGGCCAAGTTCCAGCAAAATCTAAGGGATGAGCAGCAGCAGCAACATAAACAAAAACAGCAGCAGCGCGGACACAATTTGGGTCGGCAGCACCAGCAGCAGCACCAGCATCGCGGCCATCATTCCCAGCCACAGGCCAAGGGGCGCCAATGCCAGCGCGATCAACGGGTGCAGCCAACTCCAAAAAGTTTCCAGACGCCGAGAAATCCCCAGCATCAGCAGCAGCCAGCCATCCAATGCGATGGCAAGTGTGTGGGACTCCTAAAAGAGTACGCCGTTAAAATTGAAAACTTGGAAAAAAAACTGCAAGAACTTACCACATTAATTGCAAGCCTGACGGAAGCAAAGGGCAGTGGCTCAGCAGCGGCCAATCCTCCAACACAGCCACCAGCAGCAGCACCAACACCAACACCTACAAGACCCGCCGCCAATACACAACCTGACGCCGCAGCCGTATCGGAGGACTCTGATATGGACTGCGAAGCACTCAGCGACGATGGCGACGACCAGTGGACGGACGACGATTCAGTTGACGACGAGATAGCGGATATCATAGACGACTACGATAGCTACTACTCTGACTACTTTTGATGAGCCCAAAAGTCGGTCCTGAGGCAGCCACTAAAAACAGATGGAAAACGTTAACTCACATAACCAATACGTACTCACCTGACACGCCATCGACAGAGCTGCCCCACCAGCAGATGCCACGACAAATAGACCAAACTTTTGCTGCTAATTTGACGACATTCTTGGAATATATTGACGACGCTCCTGACAATTCACCGCACAGGTCCAGAGCAGCCACTGAAACAAACCAAAAATGACGTCAATTCGCATACCAACAAAATATGGACAAAACTCAAAATAATCACACGTACCTGCCACGCCTCCGACAGATCTGCCCCTCCAGCAGCTGCCCCGTCATCAACACCACACATTTGATGCCAATTGGACGACATTTTGGGATTTATTGACGACGCTCCTGACAATCCACCGCACAGGTCCAGAGCAGCCACTGTAAACAAATTAAAAATGACGTCAATTCACACATCAACACAAAATGGTCCAAACACACATAAAACATACGTACCTGCCACGCCTCCGATAGAACTGCCTCTCCAGCAGTTGCCTCACTAAATTCACCATCCACTTTCTTACAAATGGGCGAAATTTGAAGGCCCTATCGCCGTCGCCAACAACATCCAGTCCACAGGCTGCCGCTAAAAGGAGAAAAAACATCAATACACACATCAACACAAAATGGTCCAAACATACACAAAACATACGTACCTGCCATGCCTCCGATAGAGCTGCCTCTCCAGCAGGTGCCACACCAATTTCGCCACCCAATTCCTGCCAAATGGGCGAAATTCGAAGGCCCTATCGCCGTCGCCATCAACATCCAGGCTGCCGCTAAAAGAAAAACATCAATTCACGCATCAACACAAAATAGCCATTACTTCTACTAATCACACTTACCTGTCAATACACTCACAGATCTGCCTCTCCAGTACCTGCCTCGCCACCAACCGCAACATTGTGTTCCAAGTTGGGCCCAATTTGGACGCCCCTCCGACAACGCTGCCATCAACCGATGGCCGTGACGTCACGCCATCATCACAAAACAGCAGCAGCAATCCAACGACGAGGCCAGCCAATACAGTCGACTCTGGCCAGCACGCCATCTCCATCTCCATCCACATCGAAAGTGCATCCTGGGTGGCCGGACCAGCAGCCACTCGGATGCAGCCAATCCGCACTCATTTGCGGCCTTTTCCACTGCGGCCATTTCCACTGGTCAACGCATCCCGATTGGCCGGACCAGTGCCAATCCCCAGATCTCCAGGTAGAAGCAACGTGGGCGTCCGGACCAGAGTCGCTCGCCAAACACCATCACCATTCACGCCAACTCCTGGATCCTGCCTCTGCCAATTCCGATGCCGCAGATGCGCGATCTGCTGCATCACACACACGTGCACATCCAGCGCTGAGGCGGATGCGCCCTGTGCCATCCACACTGCTCCAGACGACGACGATGATCCTCCAGTACCTGAAATAGAAAATAAATAGAATTAAATTAGCCTATAAATATCAGTAATGTTGCAATTTGTTCAATACTTATCTCTTTGTTTGTATAAATGTACGTCAATTATTGCGAATGTCAAAATAGGGCTACCAGACTGTAATACTAATAGAATGTAAACATGTCTCTAGATGTTAATGTAATGTTAATGTTAACAGCCCGCCAATTTTAAAAATCACATTATTGTTGTTAGTTAAGCTTAAATGTAAATTGCCGAAGTTATGGTAATAGGAAAAGCTGGAAATAAAATCCGCCAGTAGCAAAGCTGGCGGGCGAGTGTGCGCATCGTAGGCGAGCACGCGCATCTAATTACATCGAAAAAAAAAAGTGACTTGTGTTTTGTTGTTGTTTTATGTGGAACTTTAAATGTTTTTAAATACATGTTTAAACCGGGAAAATGAACTAAATAAACAATATGTGCCAAATAATTGCAAATAATGCAATATAATCATCTGTGATCGCGCTGTAATAGTGA